TTTGCAAACACTTCTTTCATTTCCAGACGTAAAACATCGGAAACCCGAATACAATAAATAATATAGATTCCTTAACAAATTCTCAATTTGAGAATGGCTTCGATTGTTTTGCGATAACGTCATATAATAATAGACCAAGTGTGTAAGCGACTATGGCACCTTTATGTATCGATATCTCCTTCTAGTTGGTTGATTCAAAATGGGACTCATGCCTCATTTAAAATGGCTGACAGAGCACAGTTAAGGAAACAAACAAATCGTCTTTGTATACTACATCACGTCTTTGTATACTACATCATTCAAAATAATAATTTTGCTCAATTTTTTTTATTCGATTCTGAAAAATACAGCGCGGGCCACTGGCCACTCGAAATGCACCAGCAGGCCACGTGTTGGACGACCCTAGTCTACAGTATTGTGACGACCCCCATTGTTGCAGCATAATGTGCATTGTATGAAAACCGCCTTGTTCTGGCAGTGGTACGTGATCTTACTTTATGATTATTATACAAAAAAGCTTAGCAAAGTTCAAATGTCTACCTTAATCACCTACACAATAAATATACTGATTGTACGTGCTCTTCCATTAAATAAATTTTTCAGAAAAAATTTTGAGTTGTTCGATGGCCTGGTCCCCGGTATCACTATACTTGTAGTTTGTGGCCCATTGCGCTAAACAGTTACACGCCCCTAATATAAACGATTATAATGTCTGATATCAGCGAGTCGCAAATTTTCAAAATTAATTTCACGATTTCTATCGCTTTATTTCCAAACGTTGGCACATAGAAACAATTTTTAGGATATGGGTTAATATTTCGCGACCTATATCAAATTAATTTGGGAACCACTTTTTTAATTAAATGCGGGCATATAAGAAATTGGTAATATACATGAAATAAAATACGAAATAAATTAATATTTTGCGTCACATCAAAAAATTGGAATATACATGCATATATCATTTGTTTATTGTCTATAATCCTGTCATATTTCGTGACTGACAATTTACGATAATTTTGTTCTCGCTATATCTCATGTACTTTCGTGTTTGTGCCATATTTCATATTAGAATTATATGGTAGCATTATATAGAGCATCGAAAATGCAAGATTAGAGAGATTGATGTTACTCCGTCTCTCCACAGCAATTTTTTTTGCGCAAATGACATTTTTGTGGAAAAATTCACTTCAAAAAACAATGCGTGGAACAGTTAGCTGAATTATCAAACGTTCAGCGAGTAAAAAACTGGATATCTTTTGCAAGAGACCAAAACAAAATACCTTGGCAAGTTAGGTGGCCCATACCTCTCTACTTTCCCTTAGCATATATAATCCATAAATAAAAAATTGTGATATCATTGTTAACTGGGAGCTACGGGGTCAAAATTAAAATTTCAAAAACAGACAACTAGCCAGGTTCCAGAGGTCAAAGGTTGCTTTGAATGGTAATTATAAATTCCGTACAAAAGACTAGACTTAAAGTTTGTCACAAGGTTTGTTATGAAAAGGCAAGCTTAATTTATGTAACATAGACCTCATCTGATTCATTGGTTTTACAAAATTACAAGTTTACGGCAGCAGAATTACTGTATATCATGTCAAAAGATTTTTAGATATAGTGCTTAGATGACTAAAATAAATGTAATAAGCTGTGACTCAAGCTTATACGTGTGGACATTTCGTATTTGATCAAGTCAAAATTAAATTTGGTTATGGAACACTTATCATTAATTGTCTAAGAAATATTATTTTCGGTCGAAAGTTTGACATACGGTACCTTTTTTCCTCTTTACTATCGAACACTCAAACCAAACAGCAATTTTTGGAGATGATAAAATAACATGGGAACTATGAATTCACATGCATGGGCGTGATGACCAATGAACTTGACTGCGTTTGCACAAAGTCAAACCACTGAACACAAGGTGTAATAAAATGGTTGGTCAACGCCGAACTGCAATGAATTCAGTTTTTCAAAAAATAGTAACTCTTTCAGTGGACACTTGTACATGGCTTGGGGTAGAGTGGAAGTCATGAATGAGAGAGATATAGAATATTTTTCTCAAAAACAATATTCGATAAGTACTCAAGAAAATGAATGCCGCTCCTAACACTGCCCATTTATTCTAAAATTTTATTAAAAATCAATTGAACTTGGAAGTTTATCAGAAAAAAAATCTTTCTTTGGGTGCAATCAAAGTGACTATAAACCAAGTGAGGACATGCATTGGTAACGTTATAAGCGCTCGCGTGACGTCACACCAGCCATATTGTGTCCAGAGTTCTATCGCTGTATGATCCTATTCCTAACCAAGTGATTTAAACCTGCGATCGTTAAACAGCTGAATGAAAAAAAACGATGCTCAATAAGTCGGAAACTTTCAAACTTTCGCAGCGGTAAAAAGAATGAACATTCTTCTGAAAAATCAATTAACCGCAGATGTTTCTCGGATAACTTGGCTCAGCGGTATGGTCAGCATATACGAAGTTAAGGTTGAAGTCATCTAACTTCACTCGATAAATCAACACCCAATAAGTCCAAAATATTAAACAAAAAGATAAACATTTTATTATAAAATTCCTGATGTAAGTATCGCTACTTGCACAGAACCTATTTTAACAAACTGACAGAACTACAATACAAATTATACTACAGAAATTTGCACTATTTTTGCGGTACATGTCATGGTATTGAAATATGCGTATCGCAAATTTTCAACAAGGTGTACATTGCCAAAATAATATCAAATGATATACTACATGCCTGGAACGAAGGATATTGGCGTATATCAAGTTTACAAGAACATCTAATAATCTGGAGTGTATAAAATAATATATTATCTATTTGACTTGAACTCTTGCCACAGGTCAACTAGCATACAGTTTTTCAATACTTTTTTTGTCTCCTCTTTTGCGTGAATATTTAGCCTTAAATTGGGAGAACGTTTCAGAATTTTCAAAGCGATATTGTAGCAAGATGGGAAATTATATTCCAAGCAACTTTATCTGTCAGAAAAGTAACAGGCGAACATATATTAGAAAAGGCATTAATATTGGCGCGAAAAATAGTTTATACTTCGCGCAAAAATACGATTGCTTTATTCGATGGGTGGCATAAATATTGAGTAAAACTATCAATTTGCAAATATTTATCATGTGTGTAATACCTAAAAAGAGTTAGTAACGATTGTGGGCATTCATCGGGATTGACACTTTCCATAGAAACAAACAAACAATTTGAACCCTGTGTCCTTATAGGGTTCTCCCGGAAACATCAAGGCTAATTTTTAACTGTCAGATATCGATAAAATTACAATTAGGTTTTATCAACAAGAACGTAGAGGCCATGATGGCGTCGCTAGATAATAAATATTTTACATTTTCCGACGCAAAAGAATCGAAATATTCTGTCAATAATAAGTTGATAAGAACTGCAACAGTCGCGGCGGCTGGTTTTTAAATTTTGTAGCTTATAATGTACATGCTTCGATGAAATTCATTAGGCCGCACAATGTGCTAGCCATGAGATCGTTTACATTCTATAATTTTTGGAGCAACTTTTGCAACAGCTCGTTAAATTAAGAAAAATTTTCCCGAGAAAATTCATTTCATCAGCTTCTGGAATGATTATTGTAAAACGCAGGCTTTAAGCTTTCAGCATGGTGTGAACAGGTATCATAATACCAGTTCAATTAGTACCTGATTTAAACGTATGCATCAGGTTAATGACGTTTCACACTTGCGAAGAAGAGCGATATGTGTTTTTCATACGGAACGTTGCTACGTTGCAACGTAATTGCGTAACGAAGTAATCAGGGAACGTTGTTGTTTAACTCAAGTTGGCGCATCGGACATGTCAAGAATTGGAGAACATTGAATGAAATAACTTATACAATTTTACTGGTGCACAATAAATTCTATCTAATGTCGGAAGCTGTCTTTAACATCTACAAATGTGTCGATGTCATATTAGGTTAAAACAAGAACAAATCGAAGTTTTTTTTATTTAATTCAAAAGCTTTTCAAAAAAATTCCAGGCTTTTCAATTTTGCCGATTTTTGTATGATGACGCGACATTTTATCTCTATCTCATAATTATAATTAGTCTCCTAGATTGTTTCTCAAACAATATAAAACTTATCAGCATTAATAAGGTTCGTGAGATATGAGGTTTCAAAGTTGCATAACTCACACGGAATGATAAGATAACTATCGCAAATTTCCCGAAACCGCACAATACCAGTATGATTCTACGAGGCAAAATAGCAAAGGAAAAACAATAGAGCTATGCTCAAATATATGGACATGTAGCGCCACCCAATGGCAATAATTTTGATGACGTCATAGCGAAAAAAAAAGTAATAGCCTTCCGGAGAAAAATTTTATCTTTAACCACTGAAAATTTCAAAGCAATTGGTCCAGTATTCGAAGAGAAAAGCGATTTTTTAAAAATGATGGAGACAAATAACAATAACAGCATAATATTGAAACGATCGTTATGTCCACTAAACGTGTCCAATAATGAAATTACCAGAATAAAATGCAAAACAGTAAAAAATCTTCAAACAAATTGACGAATGAGACCTTCTGGCGAAGCTAAAACAAACCGACGCTGCCGCATTTAACCGATTCGCTGGACACAAAATGGCGTCCGATATGCACCATTGAACTCGGTGCCTCCACTTGGTTTATAGTCACTTTGGGTGCAATATAGGGCCATTTTAGGTATTTCACACAATCACAGGACAAGACTCAATGAAACTAAATTGCTCATCGGAATTGGTTATTATGTATTTCAAACGAATATTCAAAAAAAATGAGTAGGCCTGAAAGCTGAAAAAGCTAAATTTAAAATTATTGAGGTTTTACATAAATTTCACCATGTAATCCAATTCTGGGTTATGAAGGTGTAAAACTATAACATATTAAAAAATCAAACTCAAAATTTCTTCCAACTCTTTCAAAAGCGATAATTATGTGAATATTATTGTGTTATACCTCTGTGCTGCCCAAGGATAATTTTAAAGCTTGTAGTTGATCTGATGACAGGTTACATCTGCCAAGGCCCAACTCTTCAATACAGGATTGATTGGAAAGTATTTTTCCAACTGATGACAAACCTTCAACTCCCATGTTTGTGTTTGTATGCAGTTCAAACTTCATGATCTATAATGAAACAAGAACAATTTGAGGTTGTAATTGGACTGTTATAAATCTTGTTGAATTAGGGAACAAGGCGAGCATGGACAGTGGTTTTCACCCTTTTTCATGGAGTGGAATTCTAATGAAACATTCCAGTTGATAGAGGCCCCATGTGCAATAGTTCATTGCCATTTATTGGCTAAATTGTATAAAACATGAATACATATTAAGCAAATCTAATACTGACAAAACAAAATGAACTACTCATGTAGTATGTTAACCAAGATGGCGAACACTGGAACGTAGAAAGGTAGCAGGTTAAGGTTAGGCCGTAATTTCAGGTACAAATACTACAGTAGTCACTAGGCTAGTCCCCGAACTCTCAATAAAACTGAAATAAGTAGAATTGGAATAAATTTATGGCCTAACCCTAACCTGGTACACATGCTACGTTCGGGTGCACATACTACAGGAGCGCTAAGAATTCTGCTCTATGGTGTTTTCGGTTACCATTCCATGTCGGGTATGGGATTAGTTAGCCAGTTGTCAGATGCATGGACTTCATGGTGGAGAAAGCTGTAACCGACCAGTGGGTACATGAACCACCCTATGGTGGCGAGGAGTCCAGTCATCCTCTCATACATAATCAACCCTGCATGTGATTCGAAAGTGCGAACCCACGCATGGTAATCAGAGGTGCGGTGGCAAGCATATTCCTAACTCTTAGCAGAATTTGCCACACTGCCGAGTCATGCGCCATACCGCTGAGAGTTTCTCCATATTTCCACCCAACAAGTCGGGATAGAATAAGTAAAAGAAATTTTTGTTCCTTAGTTGAACACCAATGCTCGCCATAATTTTATATGCTTAGAACCAGATCATGTTCGTTTCATTGGGCTACACATCCAAATTTTTAGGGAAGTGGTTGCCAAAGGGGCATATCTGCTGTAAATTTACAGGATATATTAGCATACTGGCTATTTTGCAATTGATGATAATTTTCTGCTGTTACATATATATTTTTCAACAACTTCATTGATTGTAGGAATCATGTTAATTTAAGATTAAGTAAAATTATATATCACTCAAGGGAAAAGCCAGTGGGGAGATTAAATGGGTAATAACCCTCATTTTTTAATTGTTCACGATTCAAAATTTCTGCCTTCTACTTAGAACAAACAACGGCCTCGTTTTACTTTCAGCAAATCACAGTATTGCGGTCAAAACTATATTATTCTGTGCACTATCACCTCAACGCAATTATCACCACGAGTTTTTATTTGTCTTTACAGCATCTTATGCTTTCATAGCACTGATAAAAATGCTTATTTCCGTTATTATTGAGATATTTACCTTACTCATCATCAATCATATCGTAATTATTGATAAACAATTGCACAAGGTTCAGAATCAAGATTATTAAAAATGCATGGTTCATTAATGAAGAATTGCCAACTGTGGCGGCATCAAAAAAATAGACTTTTTCCCTAAAAAAACATCAAATTTTTTCTTCGACTGATGAAATCCTCAGTACAATTTGTTCAATCCGCGTAAAATACAAATGTGTAATTGTGGTTTGTAATCAAGTAAGAGGGTATACATTTTTATTTTCTGGCTTGAAATATACATGAAACAAATTTACCCAAAGGTGATTACAATACATTTGGCTGGTCAAAAGGAGAGAAGTGTTAGAAGTTGCATTGAAATTAAAAATGGATTTTATTAAGTTAATTGTGACAAGTAATAGTTTTATATTTCATACACATTTAATCGATGCTACACGTGAGCTTGGGTTTGTGTATATAAACAATTATAATGTCTGACATCAGTGAGTCGCAAATGACTTTAAAAATTAATTTTCACGATTTTAACACCTTATTTCTAAACGTTGGCACATAGAAACAATTTTTCGGATATGAGTTAATATTTCGTGACTTATATCAAATTATTTTGGGAACCATTTGCATTATCAAATGCGGGTATATAAGAATTGTTTATATACATAAAACAAAATACAAAATGGATTATTATTTTGCGTCACATCAAAACATTGGGATATAAATGCATATATCATTTGTTTATTATCTACAATCATTTTATATTTCGTGACTGACAATTTTCAGTAATTTTGTTCTCGGTATATTTTATATACATTTGTGTTTGTGCCATATTTCATATTAGAATTATATAGTAGCGTTAAGTAGGGCATCGAAAATGCAAGATTAGAGAGATTGATGTTACCTCCGTCTCTCTACAGCAGGGGTCCTAAACTCGCGGCCCGCGGGCCAATTGCGGCCCGCAGGACGATACTTTGCGGCCCCCGCCTTGGTATGAAAGTTTAATGTGCGATGCAGTGCGGCCCGTAAGTCACTCAGCTCAGTTAGAATGATTGATGCATTTAATATATGATCAGGACAAGTAGAGCAGAACAAAATATTTTATAATTTATCTCCAAAATAATATGATAATATGCGGTACGGTAGGCTACTACTCGATGGACCTTGACCCCAAAGAAATTTTTTTTACCTTACTGTTGCAAAATCTTGGTGCTTATTTTAGAGGTGGCTTCGCGAGTTTAACCCTATAAACGGGGGTTTATGTTTCACGTCATCATTTTGATTCAAAACATTCAACAACCTGTTTTTCAACAGTACGGTACCGGTAGAGAAGTTTAGCCCAGTCTATCACAGCTATTTCTAGACTAATTTTGATTACGGCAATTAAACTATGACGCGCAAGCAATCAGAATGATCATTGAGCTCTTCGATTCATACTTGAATTTCTGAAACCCAACCCAAAACTAACAAATAGCATGCAAAAACGAGGTAATGTTTACAAACATGCCTGAAAATCTTTCTGAGTGACAAGTGTCTGAGCGGTTGCGAAAAAGTCTATTGTTACGCCATTTTTAAACAAGGAAGTAGATGCTCGGGGAAAGGTCCATCGCGGAATTACTTACATTTATGTTTTTGACATGTTTTGCGTATAGAAAAACAGGGGAAAAGATTTAACTTTTCAAGTTTAATTAATGCTTTTATTGTGAAAAACCGGATGCGGCCCGGACTCACTAAGGCTCCGTCTCGGCGGCCCCCAGGTAAATTGAGTTTGTGACTCCTGCTCTACAGCAATTTTTTTGCGCGAACGACATTTTTGTGGAAAAATTCACTTCACAAAAACAATGCGTGGAACAGTTAGCTGAATTATCAAACATTCAGTGAGTAAAAGACTAGATATTTTATGCAAAAGACCAAAACAAAATAGCTTGGCAAATTAGGTGGCCCATACCTCTCTACTTTCCCTTAGCATTTATAATCCATAGATAAAAAAAGTTGTGATATCATTGTTAACTGGGAGCTACGGGGTCAAAATTAGAATTTAAAAAACAGACAACTAGCCAGGTTCCAGAGGTCAAAGGTTGCTTTGAATGGTAATTATAAATTCCGTACAAGAGACTAAAACTTAGAGTTTGTCACAAGATTTGTTATGAAAAGGCAAGCTTAATTTATGAAACATAGATCTCATCTGATTCATTGGGATTTACTAAATTTCAAGTTTACGGCAGCAGAATTACTGTATATTATGTCAAAAAATTTATAGTTAATAGTGCTTAGGTGACTAAAATAAATATAATAAGCTGTGACTCGAGTTTTAACAGGTGGATATTTCATATTTGATCAAGACAAAATTTAATTTGGTTATTGAACACTCATCATTAATTGTTGAAGAAGTATTATTTTGGGTTGAAAGTTCGATTTACTTTTTTACTATCGAACACTCAAACTAAACACAACTTTTGGAGATGATAAGATAACATGAGAATTATGAATTCACATGCATGGGCATGATGACCCAGTAGTAAGACCAATGAACTTGACTGCGTTTGCATTACAGATCGTACAAGTTCATACCATTGAACACAAGCTGTAATAAAATGGGAGGCCAATGCCGAACTGAAATGATTTTTTATTTTTCAGAAAATAGTAATTCCTCCAGTGAACACTTGTACAGGGCTTGGATTAGAGTGAAAGACATGAATAAGAGTCATATAGAATTTTTTTCTCAAAAACTATATTCAGTATAGTACTCAAAAAAATACTGCTTTTCACACTGCCCATTTATTCTAAAATTTTAATAAAAATCAATTGAACTTGGAAGTTTATCAGAAAATTAATCTTCCTTTGGGTGCAATATAGGGCAATTTTAGGTATTTCACACAATCACAGGACAAGACTCAACAGAACTAAATTGCTCATCGGAATTAGTTATTATGTATTTTAAACAAATATTCAAATAAAAAATTAGACCTAAAAGCTATTATTCAAAAAGGTAAATTTAAAATTATGGAGGTTTCACATAAATTTCACCATGTAATCTAATTCTGGGATATAAAGGTGTAAAACTATAACATATTAAAAAATCAAACTCAAAATTTCCTCCAACTTTTTGAAAAGCGATAATTATGTGAATATTATTGTATTATACTTCTGTTTTGCCCAAGGATGATTTTAAAGCTTGTAGTTGATCTGATGACAGGTTACAGTCGCTATGGTGATTCGCACATACTGTCTAGTCAGTAAGTATTCATCATATAAAAAATTTAACTAATTTAATTACATTTGCGCCACGGACCGCAGATTTCATGTTTAAAACCAGGTCCACCACAGTACTCCGTGTGACAATTCAGAAAATACTTTTAAACCAAAAAGATTCTGATATATAATTTAACATATACAATAATCAATATATGGTGACATTCTACTATATAGTAGTACCGGTGACTCCAAATATGAGCTGCTCGCCTAAAGCCTTATTTATAGTAAAAACATGAAAACAAATTTTAAAGAATTTAATATAAGAAATTCTACCTTCACATTTGATCCTTTCAATTCAGATGCCAGAGTTTGAAGTGAGGCTGACTTGAGATCACATCTGATGAAATTTCATTGTTAGTGATGTGCAGTAGGAAGCTACTGATCCAATGACATGAACATCACTTATGGAGAGAGGATGACCCCACATGTCAATTTCGTCAAGAGATGATTTGACAATGTCACTCATTCCATTCTTGGCTTCGTTCAATGCAGTGAGAAGTTCCAAAAGATCTGATTTGTCTGATATTTCTTTGAGTTGTGATTGCAGACTTTTCTTGAGAATATCTCGTTTTTCTTCAAGATCCTGAATTTCTGTGAAAATATAAGAATATATGTATACTGATGATACTTGTGTCTGAATGATAAGTTACCATTCAGTAAGGATTGACTTGCAAATAACATTAGCGCCCATCTCTTTTAATTTAGTTATTGGAAAATTAAATCTAGTCAGCCATAGCCAATCAATGTATTGGGCACCCCATTGTACTAATGTGTCTGTTACATTGTTTAGACTAGTGTTTGTTATTGCATTTCAGATTTCCCCAAGCTTAAAACTTTAGTTCAAATCCAGTGTAAAATGTGTAATAATAATGATTGATGTGTATTAATGATGCTCGGCTAATTTTTGCTTTGCAATAAAACACCCTAGTACAGACATGGGCAAAGTACGGCCCGTGGGCCAAATCCGCCCCATTGAGTAATTCAATATGGCCCGCATGATGGTGTCACAACCTAGCTAAAACTAAATTTTGATGTTTTAGTTAAAATTAGCTCAAGAAATTTGTTGAGATTGCGATTAAAATTAGTCTTGGCACGAGGCTTATTGTTTTCCATTTTTTGCTTTTGTTACACTGTAAATATTTTTCATAAAATGTAACTTTTTACATCACACTTACATGGCCCGCAAGTCTAAGTGGGCACAATTTTTGGCCCCTGGTCGGAAAATCTTGCCCATCCTTGCCCTAGTAGCATCTCAACCTTTGCCCCTATCCCCAAGAATTACAGCATTGATGAATTAATTTTTTATATGGACTTATTCATGGATTTGGCTCCGAACAATGCCCTGTAACAGTGTGCACTGATAAGCTAGGCATAGAGTTACTGTTTCTTAAAATTACAGGAATATTCCTAGGTCAGCATTGTCTACCAAATTTATTACACCCTAGGGCCTAGGTGAAGAGACAAGTATGCGATGTGAACCCGAGATGAGTAACCTACAATGCCAATACAGTTATTAGGTTGAACACTTTAACTGCTAGGCCATTGCACTGATTAATTGATAATGCGAGAAACGCGTAACAAATTTCAGATTTGAATCAAGAAAAAAAATGGCTCTAGCTTGAATTTGAATCAACAATAAACAACACATTACCTTCAAGTAAAATTCCGGCTGCTTCATAAACTGTCGGATTCAATAAAAATCCACAGATCATTTTTCTGACGAAAACAAAGTGACCGGTATGAAGATGTTTATCCACGAACTCCTTAAAAGATTTTAAATCCAGTCCAAGAATATAGAAAGATGTGAGCATTTCTTGAATACTTTGATGTTGAAAGTAAAGAAGGTGGATTCCTTGAAAGAGTTTACGATATATTCCTCCAGGAGCCAGAATTGCTAGATCGGTTGCTTTTTCTGGTTTTAGATGAACTTGATGAAAATCATCTTCTGTAAATAGAACTCGACGTTCTACTGTCCCAACGTATGATAGTTCTTTTAATTTGTCCAAAACTTCCATAGAAATCTCTTGGTGAGTGTGGGGTGATCGTAAGATACTTTGCATGACCACAATCATAATACCACTCATGGTGTTTGGTTTGAAGTCAGATTTGAATTTTAATGCTATCAGCGTGTAAACCAGCATCACAGGGGTAGTGCACAGTAACAAGAGTGGTGGAGCTTCGATTTTGAGAAATTCTATTATTTTCTCGGCTTCTCCATTTCCTTCATATCCAGAAATTATTTTTTTGATGGAGTCCATTGTTAATCCAGCAAGTGCAATGACCTTGTCTGGTCGAACTTCTCCCCAATAATTTCTGATGGAATGTTCACGACTGGACGATATAATGCGACAGCCAGGAAATAATTTTTCAGAGAGAAAATTCCACATAATTACCTCAGGATATGCAGGCTCATCTAGACTGATGAGTTCATAAACTCCATCAACTGTATATTGAAGAGTATCCAAGGAGTCGAGCATAAACAAAACTTCCTCTGGGTGAGTTTTTGCAATGTCTATTGCTTGACCTCTTTCTTCTTTTGTGAGATTGCTGAAAATTAGTTCTTCTGCTGTTACTTTACTGTCGTTCATAAATTGTTTACATTCTACATATGGAACCATCTTGATATTCCCCTGAAAATATTTTCCCTGTATGACATCTCTTGAGGTTGCTTTCATGAGTGTGGTCTTTCCTGAACCAGGGGTCCCTACGAAACAGACATGACCATGTTTAAAGTTGTTAAACAATTCATCAAGTTGTGTCTCTTTTCTGATCCCTCTTTCTCTTTCTCGTTGTAAATACTTTTGTTGATTAGGTGACTCTGGTACATAATCGTGTTCAGGAATTCTTCCACCTCTATAAAAATCAATTTCTTCCAATTGAGGAGTTACGTCCACATTTAGTTTTCTTTTGAAAACTCCTTGAGGTTCAGCAAAGTCATAGAAGTCAGTGCACTTTTCAGTGTTATCATTGATTTTTGCTATTACTTTTTGATAAGACATCATATTTGCTTTACAATGTCATACACTTTAAACATCCAGCGTATTGACCATCTGGTAAAGCTTCATAAAAAAAGATTCATCCGATGTAATATTCAATAATACTTTTCGACAATAACTTCAAAGTTCTAGGATATAAATTTTAACTAAACCTGCTGTAAATCTAACACGAAAACATTTGTCATCCAAGTGCGATGAAGCCTAACATAGATGCCATTAAATCTGTTATATAATGTAGACTTTCGTAAACAGTCGCTGTTCATAATATCTTTGTAGCATTTACATAATTGTTCCTAAATTAATATTATAGTTTTTGATTTTCGAGCTTTCATACAATTTTGCGAAGCAAGAAAATTGCTACTGTAGTAGTTTTAAAACTGGTATTTAATTACAAAGTATTCTCCAGAAAATTATATGCTAACCAAATGTTCGGCTCATCAGAAATTAAAACTATTTCATAAGGGTCGCGCAAGAAAGTACTTGCTCTATATAGACAGCCACCGATATCTAACGATGTACAAGGAAATACTGTTCTTTTGGCAAAAATCTTCCCACACTGACAGAAATTACTTTATATTGAGTGATTCAAAAACAGGAAAGGAGAAAGGAGTATGTATTAGCCCCAGTCATAAACCTAATAAGCTGATAAATAATCATTAAATGTTTAAAATCATCTTTTTTTTTTTCAATATTTTTTGTGAGGATAAGAGAACTCTTCAAAAAGTAAAATGTGACTATCTTAAAAGACTAGTTAATATAATATGCAAATTTAATAAATAAAGTCCCGACCAGATGTTAAAGTTATCTATCCAACTAAGAAATTATTGTCCCATCTAACATGAATGCTACCATATTATTTTATATTCTTTCTAGTATGTCACCTGTTATACAAAATACATTTTTGTGAACAGTTGCAATTTCAAAACTTGAATGGTATTCAGGAGTATTAATAAAATTCCATATGTTAGTGATCGCTTCTACACTGAGAGTTTTAATTTTACATAAGACCAGTTATAAGTCTCTACATTATCCTTCCTCTTATTATTTTTTCGTCCTGTATTCAAACCTGGTATTTTTCCTATGAATATCTAATTACAAATACTAAATTGAAAAACTATTATAAATAATTGTAAAAACTTATCTAAGCTCTTTATATTTGTCCTGGTTTTTGTGGACTATTTGGACTAGCTTATTAAAAAAGAACTCACGCTCCATTCAGACAAATGAATCTGACATATTTTCTATCACCAAATATAAAATAAGGAAAGTATAATATATGGATCTTTCGTACAAAGCCCCCGCCCAAAACACTCCCACCAATGCTCAAAATGATAAAATAAGTAATTATCCAGTTAGAGTTAGGTATGCAGATTGTGCTGGAAATTCAAATTGTCAAATTCTTTGAACCCCAACTGGATAATTAGTATGTTGCTCTATCAAAATGTGGCAAGGGTTGTTTTTCTGAAATCTTACATTTGGATCTAGTGGCGGGGGCTTTGTACAAAAGATTCAATTACATACCAGTCTAATATTGAACGGCCCCTCCCTCTCGTCGAAATGTATTTCTCGAGTTTGGAAAATTACGGTAGTAACGAAAACAAGAAAATATAAAATATATTCCATTTCACCAATTGGTTCATAGAATTAGTCACATAGGCAGAAAAAGAAAGTTTAATCTATTTCAATAGATCAAGTTTTAAACAAACTCCCGTATTGTGCCTTTTTTCATTATTTACAGGATTAGAAGAAAAATACCCAGGTTTCTTCCTTTTTTTGCACATTCTGGCCTTAATTTAAAAGGAATTTGACAAATAAAATTTTGAGAATTATTGAATTGAACTGTTGATATGTTGATGTCTATCCGCGGACAATCTCAGTTTTAGAAAGCATTTTCCTATCCTATCCTTTATACCATGTTTTTTCAAACTAATTATACAGGGTGTCCATAAAATCCCTTTACAATTTCAAGTTTGTCAGGAAGTTAGTTCTCAATATATCCTAACCAGGTTTGTTGTTTTTTACCCAGTGTTTATTAAGTTCTCATGTCATTTAATACATCTGTAGTGGCAACATACTATATATGGTATCGATAAATTTCCTTTGCAAATTAAAAAATTTTAAAACTTCATGGACGACCTGTATAACTAGCTTGACTAATAACTAAAACCAAACTCGGCAAAACTAACCAGGAAGGTTATGTCGTTGTTACAACAACTAAAAATACGCTTCAACATCCCATTTCTTAATTCAAACTGATAAAAACCACAATTTGTTGAAAAAATCATACTGCCAAGTATGGGATACTGGTGGATCGCACATAGATAGTGTGTCCCGCATATGATTCATGCTTAAACTCTCTTCATGGATGATTGACAAAGTGGGACAAAGTAACTGATTGTCTGCGCATCGCTTCGCTTGCTGTGTATGGGACGATGAGGACAATATTATTTTGTCTGGAATCAAAAGATAACAGATTACAGCAGCTTGTTTGAACTGTCACACACAACAAATTTATGCTCACTTGACCTAATTAAACCACTAAACACTTTTATCAGAATTGAATTTTGTCTGATGGCCTTAATTACGGATTTGTTGTAAATCCACTAGCTTAATAAAAAAACATCTGTAACCACAGAACATACACTTCATTCAGACATATAAATCAGATATATTTTCCGCCAGAAAACATAAAATAAGGAAAGTATAATACATGGATCCTTTGTACAAAGCCCCCGCCCAAAACACTCCCATCAATGCTGAAAATAATAAAATTAGGAATTATTCAGTTCGAGTTATGGATGCAGATTGCGCTGGAAATTCAAATTTTCAATTCCTTCATAATCCTAACCCCAACTGGATAATTAGTAAGTTGTTATTTCAAAATGTAGGCAGGGGTGTTATTCTGAAATCTCACATTTTTGCATTAGTAGTAAGGGCTTTGTACAAAAGATCAAAATACATAACAGTCTAATATCATTTTCCGAGTTTTATAACAGTTGGAAATGTATAAGAATATGCAACCACGATCATCATTTGAACGGCCCCGGATGAATTTCAAACACAAAAAATATCAAGGAATAATAAATCTTCAAAATTTAATAATAATTTTTTTCATGTAGCCTAGATATCCAACATAAACACAAGTAAAGCTGTTGTTAGTGAGATGGTGATCACAACCAGCAACACTGCATGATACCACAGATAATTCAATAATTTGAGACTGAAATTGGTATGAAAATGGTAAACGCCTTACAAACAATGCTTTAATACTCAAAACGGTCGAATAATTCCAAATTTTTTATCCTAAAATTTCAAAGACATATTTTAATTAATTCGAATTAGAAAGCAGACTCTATCCAATGATAACACCAAATTATTTTTGATATCTGATATATACATGTTTATGTGGTTGTCATGGCAACAAACAGATACTTTACAAAAACCTTTTCATTAACGCTTGTAACATGATATGCAGTCACACGTCAGAGTGTATTATGTGGGAATTAATTGCTTTTGAAACAATACAAATAAGAACAGAACACAAAAGTATACCGCTGTCCCACAGGTTTTTATTTATTTTTTGAAGCAAATCATGGATGTGCCAAATATAATCTTCGCTTAAATCAAATTTCTAACAAATAGCTCCTTGAATTCAATATATTCTTGTGCAGAAAATAAACAAAAAAAAATGTGCCAAGTCATCTACATATGGAGTATTGATCAAATAAATACCACTACGTACAGTGAAATGCAATATTATTTTACCACTCAATCATATTAGTATGTACGATGCCGTATGGTTGAATCTGGTTTTGAAATGCCTCTTTGCTTGAAACGCTTCTAAATTATAAAATTGCGCCAAAAATAGTAAAATCCAAAACTCTCAATGTTTCGAAACCGAAATGTTGACTCGTTTTTGTGGGATTTTGAAATGGAGAAAACAGACAAATCTACTTGAAATAAAATATCTTAAAATAAACCTTCAGAAACATTTTCAAATACATTTTGGTTCAGTTACACTCTCCAATTATTAAGACCATGGCCTTAATTTCCTGTATGCCGTTTTCAAGCTTGTCCAAATAATATTGTCCACTTATCATTGTAATATTTTCTGTCGACAATTTGAAAAACAACAACTGAACATGTATTGAGCCAAGATTTTGTTCAATTCAATTCATCGTTTTCACTTATTATGAAGCAAATCATAGATGAGCCAAATATAATCTCTGTTCAAATCGAATTACTAACAAATAGACCTTTGAACTCAATAGCTGTAATCTTACAAAAAAAAGGGAAAAAAGAATGGTCCGAGTCATCTACATGTAAAGTATTGATCAAATAAAATCTATTAGGTACAGTGAAACACAACATTATTTTACCACTAAATCTTATCAGTATGTAAGATGTCGTATGGTTGAATCTGGTTTTGAATAAATATGTATAGCAGTGGTTCCCAACCTTTATACATAGGTAGAACGATACGATCAAATAAAATGACCTCATAGACTGGCAAGACAATATTGTAAAGTCTGACACAAAGCATAGAGTTAAAATAGAAATACATGAATGAACTCTAATTTTATAGAGTGCCTTTTGTCTGAAACTTTCTAAATTATGAAATTGCACCAAAAAAATTAATTTTAAAACTCTATATGTTTTAAACCAGAAATGTTAATTAGTTTTTGTGTAATTTTGAAATGCACAAAGCAGACAAATCTACTTAAAATAAAATATTCAAAAATAAACCTTCAGAAACATTTTCACATACATTTGAGTTTAGTTACACTCTCCAATTATTAAGACCTCCATGGCCTTAATTTCCTGTGTGCCATTTTCAAGCTTGTCAAAATATTATTGGGGGGGGATACCAAGGACTAAAATAATCGCCCCTCTTTTCTATACGTCGAGTGGAGTCACTCTATTGTGCTGTTTGCATTGTCTCATGAATGAGCAAGCTAATACGTATAGTCAAAATAAAACAAATGCAATAGCACTCTAGTGAATGC